AGAAAGTAAAGATTAGGGGTTAACCCCGCAGAATGTCTGATCGGAAGCTACTTTAACTGCTAAGTTGTGAATTAATAAATATTAAAGAGAAATGTCACCATGAGATCCCCATTTTCTTTCACATTGGTTGTTGACATGTATTGATCATGTGAGTATGCATTGTTGAATTACATACAGTTACGACATACATTTAGACACACTAATACATGCATCTACTGCACCCTCTCTAATTCTAGATGTATAGAGAACTGTGTGTCCATAACCAGCATTGCAAAATTTAGATCAAGTTTATTTTGACGCATTAGAGTTAACTTCGGGGGAGGAAAGTCAACTTGAGAGGGATCCGACTTGGGAAGGTTTTCTTGCAGATATGGCCATGACTCGGATTAAAAATAGATTTACTCAGGAATCACATATTTTTAGAAAATTCAGTGATGGTGTTTTGTGCTTAAACCATTCTTTGCCTCATTACTTCATTTCATCTGATTGACTTATTACTCTCACTTTTGTTTGTTGTTTGCCTCTATAGATATAGAGAAAACCGGAATGTTGGCATGGGGGCAGAAAAATGGTTGGACATTGAACTATGGAGTTCCATTGAGGAGTGTTTTAGGGCGTTGAGACTGCGTGGATATCGGATTGCAGCAACCCATGTTGGAAGTGATGCTGTAAGGATCTCCTTTTCATTCTGTTAAATGCTTTTACTTCCTGCAGCTTTGGTTGGCCTTCTTCTAAGTTATCCTAATGTACTAGAACTTTTTCTTTTTTTGTCAATGTTGCATCTGAGCTACTCAATATCTTAAAGAATATTTAATTTCTCGTATCTTCATCTTAAACTTATTTGTTTGAAGCTACAATGATGCCTTCAGTTTTTCTAATACAACATTTCTTATAGCATTGCTTCAATGTAAACTACTCTCTGAAGATTCATTTTATAAACTATGGTTACTATGTTGTCTCTTCTATGGTTTTGTATATAAATTTTAATTTAGCCTATTGGAGTTCGCAAAAATGCTGTACTCAGAATATGTTGATGACGTGCATGTAAATGCTGATCTGGTTGTTGTTAAGGATGATTCCCTAAATTTCCTTGTTCAAAGGAGGTCTAGGCCTTTCAGGCTTTGCACACCATCAATGTTGATCAGTTAGGTTCATTTTCTTCATTACCTTGTGTTTAATGCAGTGGAACCCCTGATGCATGGATGCAGCTTTGTGCATTGATACAATGTCAATTTTTTGTTTTTTGTCATACGTTTCTGAAGTATTTGACAGGGATACCCCAATTTGAATTATCAGTGCATCATGGCTAATAACTAATTTATAGTCATGAAAAAGAAAGTCATGTGCATTTGTCCTACCTATTTTTTGCTCCATTTTGATATATTTGCATTTCATTCCTGATCTAAACCTTATGAATTCAAGGTTATAGCCATTAGTTATTCTAAAATTGATGGACTGTTATGGAGAGTTTTCAAGGTTATAGCCATTACTCATTCCTGGTCTAACCTTTGAGGGATCATCGTGGCAGAGTTTTCATGATATACTTTGGGCTGTTTCATGATGTGGTGCAAATGAGGCAGTTGCCTGGTCCCTTTTATGTGGACTAAGAAATATAAATCAATGATGACCAAAAACCATTCCAGAAGATGATTTTAGGGAAAATTTCTTATAGAATCCTAATGCCTCATATTATTTCATGGTAGATCCTCTGTCTGTTTTTCTTTCAAGCGACATAAGAAAATACCTAAGGATTTCACTGTACCCCCTCATCTCTTATCTCTCTCTTTTATTAACTTTTGACCATAAAAATTAGCCCCAACAAATCTTTTTTTACCTTTTCATCCCAAAACCTTTTTTAGCTCTCTTTTTCCCTTTCCACCCATTAAAATTTTTTGTGGGTTGAAATGGTATAAAAATATTTGTTGAGGTTAATTTTTATGGTCAAAAGTCAATAAAATAGGGAGATAAGAGATGAGGGGGTATGGTGAAATCTTTAGGGGGGTTTTTTTATGCCTCCTTGGGTCTACCATTAAATAATACGAGGAATTAGGGTTCTATAGGAAATTTTCCCATGATTTTAATAAGGCTACGGTTTGTATAGAGCCTAGGCTCTAAACAATCAAATTAGAGCCTACCTTCAAATAGTGTCGAGAAATGTGGTTTCAATACTGAAAATCTTTGTGATAGACTTAAAATATATTTTCATATTTATTTATAAAGTTTAAAGCTTAAAAAATAGTGCAGATCGACAGATCTATGAAAACTTGAAAATCTTGAAAATTGACGGTCCAAAAATGCATTACAAAATGCACTATTTCCAAAACTTGAAATCCATTTTTTCTCATGTCCATGCATCTTGATGTTGAGATGATCAATTTGAAGATATTTGAGCATCAAAACAACCTCTTCTAGTGAAAGTTTTGAGGTAGGCTCAAATTTGATTGTTTAGAGCCTCGGCTCTATATAAACTTTTTCCTTCTAATAATGGCATATGCTGGGCTAGAAGGTGTTTCCCATGGTGTCTTTGAAATGTGTTTCATGAAATTTAATTGATTGGATAGGATAGAGATAATGTATAGCCACAGTTGTAGAGAGTGCAACATGGAAGCAGACAGTTTGGCAAAAGAATCAGTATCCAAAAGTGAGGTTTATTGAATAGATGGGGTTGTGGATATAGAGCAAAATGTGTACAGACTCATTTTTCTGTGTTTGCGAGTATGTGTTCGTGCGTGTGCGTGTGCGCCCGCTTGTGTGCACGTGTGCTTGTGCATGTGTGTGTGTCTATGTGTTTGTGTGCCTGCATGTGTGTGTTTGTGTCAATGCGTATGTATGTATGAGCACACACTTGCACGCGTGTGTGTTTTTGTCTGTCTGTGTGAATGCATGCTTGTGTGTGCATGCCGAGGGACCTATGGAACAGATGTAAGCCTGACATCCCAAGGTGAATCTCTTCTCGGCACCCTCAGGCTCCAAACCGACAATGGCTAGCCTTTCCTTTAGTCCCATAATCGCGGACCAGGCAGTTTGGCTTGAAAGAGCCCTCTCCAAAGATGAAATACTTGCTGCCGTCAGTGATCTAGGGCAAGACCGAGCCCACTGAGCCCCAGGCCCAGATGGCTAACCGGTGACCCTATTCAAGCAGTTTTGGGAGACCTTCTGTCCAGACATGATCGCACTGATGAACGAATTCCACGAGAGGAATCATTAATAAGGCAATGAATGCTACATTCATTACATTAATCCCTAACGTCAAAGTGCCCGAGGAACTTAAAGACTTTAGGGCTTTAAGCCCATTAGCCTTATCAATAGTTCCTACAAGATTTTATCCAAAGTTCTAGCCTCTAGACTTAGGAACGTCCTCGGATGGGTTATCTCCCCTACTCAAGGAGCTTTTGCAAAAGACAAGAAGATTTTAGATGGAGTCTTAGTTGCAGTCGAATGCATTCATTCTCGCCGCCTGTCCAATTCCCCTGGGGTTATCATCAAATTGGATTGGGAGAAAGCCTATGATCCCTTAGATTGGGACATTTTGGACAAAATTTTGTATAGGATGGGGCTTTGGCCTTCTTTGTAGTTCTGGAACAGAGGATGCATATCCAATCCTTGCTTCTCTGTTCTAATCAAGGGATCTCCCAGAGGTTTTTTCCCTCTTTGAGGGGTCTCAGACAAGGAGACCCTCTCTCACCCTTTCTCTTCACCATAGTCGCAGAGGTTTTTTAACAAATCCATCCCTGGCATGCATAAGAGTGGTCTCTTGAAAGGCTTCAAGGTTGGGAACCATGGAGCAGAAGTCTCCCATCTACAATATGCCAACAACACCCTTATTTTCTATGATGCCACCCCATCCGAGATGGACTATTTGAAACTTTCCCTTAAATTTTTTGAGATGGCTATGGGCTTCAGAGTCAACATGGCCAAAACAAAGATGATGGGGGTAGCTATACAGCCTCTGCATCTTTTCTCTCTCGCTGACCGCTTGGGATCCATTGTGGAAGATTTGCCTTCCAACTCTGCATTGGGAAGCCTAAAACCAGCCAATGAAGCCACATTGTAGATATATCTGACCGAAGGCTCGCAGGTTGGAAGGGTAGATTCCTAACCCCGGTTGGCCGCCCCACCCATATCAAGGCCACCTTATCCAACATCCCCATATTTTAGATGTCCCTCTCCCTCTTTGACATGCCCTCTTAGGTGGTTAACCACTGTGAATGACTCATGAGGAATTTTTCTGTGGGCAGAAGAAGGGCGCAGAATGTATCATTTGATCTCTTGGGCCAGAGTGTACACTCCCAAGTCCCAAGGGGGTTTAGGCATCTGCAACATTAAGTCCAACAGCCTAGCCGTCCTCGGCAAGTGCTGGTGGTGCTTTGCCACCCAGGAGAACCGCCTCTGGTAGGAGGTGGTGCGACCCAAAGACCGGTGTGGGGACAACGCTTGGCTCCCGGACAGTAGGGCTGCTGCCAATTCTTTGGGGATTTCTAGATCCTTACTTTGCTGCCTTCTTGGACTTGGGTGACCCGAATTCAATCCCCTAACTCTTCCAGGCCTTCCTCTACCCACCATAGTCCAGATCAGGCATATCCATATGGCGGGCCACTGTTGTGGCTGCTCTTTGGGTTTTCTGGTTGGAGCACAACAGCAGAACCTTCCGAAGAGAGGACTGCTATAGAGGCCCTTTTTGACAAAGTCAGATCATTAGTCATCTTTTGGGCCAAGAACAACAAACTCTTCCAGCATTGCACCCTCTCTGACTTCCACCTCAATTGGAGGAACCTCCTGCACCACAAAGGAGCTTGACCACCCAAGCTGGGTCAAGTTAAACTCAATTTCAATGGTTGCTTCCTTGGCAACCCGGAAACCTAAGGTATAGGGGGCATTTTCAGAGATTCCAATGGCGCAAACTTTTTCATTGGCCATACCAATTCTACTATTGCTGAAGCCCTAGCCCTTGTCGTTGGACTCCGCAACTTCAGCTCCTCCTGGGAGCCACTCTCATTATTGAGGGGGCCTCCTTCAGTGTCATAGCCTGCATTGAAATCATCCCCTTGTCTGTGGAGATTGGGACATATCTTTGATGAAATCGTCTACCTCTGAAGGGATATGCGTGTGGTATGGCGGCATATCTGGAGCAGCAGCCAGCACCCTCGCTAAGCAAGGAGCTTCACAGCAGAACCCACAGGGGACTTTTGGGCACCTTTTTGAGCACTAGACCCTACTTTTTGTTTTAGTCTCACTGTATCTAGTCTTGTACAGCATTTTTTTGTGCCCCCTAAGGGGTTTTTTGTACATGAACACCCAGTCTGTGGGTGGTTTGATCTCTTGTATACCTTTTCTTTCAATACAACAGGTAACAATTTTAAAAAAAAGACACCCCAAAGTGAACCATCAGATGGTTATAAGCCCAACACCCCAAATTACCCCAAATTGAACAATCAAATGGTTATCTTTCATCAATGGGGGTGGGGGCACTATGGTCAACTTTTTCAAGCATATGATTTTTTTTATATTTTTTGTTTGATGCATCTAGGTCAGGCTCAACTCTCCGCAAAATTTCAAGTCCCCAAAATTTCAAGTCAAAATGGTTTGTAAAAAATGATTTAAAAGCAAACACTGCACATCAATGTTGGCTGTCTAGATCTTGGAGATGGAATCTGGGCCATCGGGCCGGGGGCCTCACTAACAATTTCCCTTTGTGTGTGTGCGCATCTGTGCGTGCGTGATTGATTTTCTTCATGTTATTCTTGTTTCACATTGAGGTGGCTGTACATCATTCTTTACTTTTCTTGTGGACATTGGTTAATGTCATTCTTCATTGATCCCTCAGAAATTTGTCTTTGGGTTGTCATCTCAGGTTTCTATTTATGACTTGGATTGGACATATCCAACTGCGATAATTATTGGAAATGAACACAGGTGAGCATTTAATTGAGTAGTTTGTTTGGATCTCTTTCAGCCATATATTTTTTATTGATGGTTTCTACGTTTTGTGCTTCTGGCCTTGGTGCCATCACTATTTTCTGATGGGTCATTAGCTGGACAATCTTTGTATGCTATGATGATCTGCTAAGCATTTCATTATAATATATATCTCTTATGGTATGTTTAAGATAACATGTTTGGTTTATTCTAGTTGTGATTAGGTAAAAGACAACAGTGATGGGTAAATAATTTATCAGCCATATTTTTCTTTCTCCTCGGAACATCAATAGATATTAAAATGCAAAACCTGATCAGCAATCCTCAATTCCCAAGAATCCATGTAGTCCTTTTTTGTCTTATTTAAAGAATGTGAGTTTTTATTTTATGTGCTTCTTCATTTGTTCATTCTTTTCTTGAAAAAAATGTCGTTTGTGCATTTTCAAATGCACTGATTTCAATACAATCCATAAATTGCCACCGTACTTCAGAGATACATTGGTTAATATATCCATAGTGGTTCCCATTTGTGGGTAGCCCATTTTTTGGTAGCATGCATATTTTCTCTTTTACTTAATACAAACATTAACATCTTCCCCCCCCAAAAAAATCCATAGTGGTAGGATACCATGATTGACTACATGGGTGTTTGTCTAACTGCAGGGGCATAAGCAAAGAGGCTTTGAAGCTCTCTGATTTGCATTGTAGTATTCCCATGAAAGGAATGGTTGACTCCTTCAATGCCTCAGTTGCTGCTGGCATCCTTATGCACCATGCGGTTTGTGATAGGACTTCCCGTCTGGTAAGATGTTACCCCTTGATGAGAAATGGGAGAATTTTACCTGTTTCTTGCTTCTTCTAGAGAACAATTTTTTTTTTTAATTATTTGCTATGCTTGTTGGGGAGGTATCATGTCTACATATCAATGTAATTCTATAATATGCAGTAACCATTGAGCCTTCAGTGAGTCTATTTTAAGTTAAAACAGAAGGCTGGTATAGTTTCTGTCTCTATTTGCCAAAACTGCATATTTCGATTGAGTTTTGCCATGGAGTTACCCAATCTCCTCATCAGATTACTTTTAATTGCTTAGACTTCTTCTGATGTGTCTACTTGAGGAACCAACCCATGCATGGAGGGACAAAGACGGTATTTATTAGTTAAATTTAGATGTAACCAATCCTCAGATCTCTTCTTTATGCTCGGGGAAATTCATTTTGTGGTTTTTGAATGGGCTTCTGTCATTGTCTCATGCTGCTGCATATTTTAATTGAACTAGTATGGCTTACAGAAAACAAATTCGCACTTATATAATTCTATAAAGTTGGATTGAAACAAATATGGTTAGCCATGGGGAACAAATCTCTTATATTGCTTTCAGATCGAATTCTTTGATTAAGCTCAGGGTTCCACTTATTTTCCCCAAACAAACTACTATGCTTACTGAAAGAAAACGAAACAACTCCATAAATTTATAAGCTTGAGTTTGAGCAAATTGACCTCTGTAATCTTCAGGGTAGCCATGGTGATCTGACTCAGGAAGAACACCAGATTCTATTGGCTGAGTTCTCACTTCGCCATAGCATGAGTGCAGTGAGTATAGTCCATGAGTTTGCAATGAGGAGAGTAGAGCAGCTTAAGGCCAAACTCTAAAAGAGCCATCATGCAAGGTCTTTGTTTAGTTGCTGTAGAATTTTGGTTACAGGTAGTATGTGCAGAAGTTACTTTTGCGACTTCATTATTAATTTTCCTGCTCTCTAATGTTATAATTTTGTTCTTTAGACTGTTATATTGTTTATCAAATGAAAACATATTGGTTCACAAAAGAAAGTCCAATTCTTTCTAGAGCATCGTAAAATTTTTTTGAAGCAAACTTGAAAATGATTGTAAAGCAAATAATGTGTGTGCATGGACAAATGATTTATCAGTTTGAAATATTTTTGTACTTGTACCATCCTATCTAGTAATACAATGCTAACTTCTTTTTTTAAAAAAAAGTGCATCCTGCCCTTCAAAAATGAACTTGCAGCTCAAAAAATAGTGCAAATCTGATTGATCTAGGTCCATTTAAATAGATGTTTGGCATGACACTTTGAGATAGCAATAAATGAGCTTTTTTAGGGCACCAAATCCTTTTTTTTTTTAATGTTCTTGGTTTTAGTGGACAAGAGGATGGATCTGCTGGTTTTTGGGTTCTCAATCAATGGGAAAATGGATTGAGGGGAGCCGCATGGTGTTGGTGCAGCTGCGACTGCACTAGTATGGGATATGGTTGGTAAATTTCTGTCGAAATAATTTGGGCTTTGTCAAAGGTTCACATAGACATTGGGATGTGTCTGGGGCTCACTTATTATTTTTTAAGAGTTGGAAGACTCAGATTTTTCCATTATTTTATTTTATTTTTTGTGGACTTCTAGTTTCTAACCTCTTTTCTTTTTTAAATTATCCATAGTTTCTATTTTTTTTTTTTTTTTTTGAGTTACAAGGGTGTGGTTTGTATAGAGCCGAGGCTCTAAACAATCAATTTAAAGCGCACCTTCAAATAGTGTTGGGAAATGTGGTTTCAATATTGGAAATCTTTGTGATAGCCTTTAAATATATTTTCATCTTTAATTATAAAATTTAAAGCTTCAAAAATAATGTAGATTTTAACACAAACTTTTTAAAAAAACTGCATCATTGAAGAAACATTGACTCTCTCCTTCTCTCAACCCCAATCGAATTCCGCTCACCCGCTCCTCTCTCTCTTCGCGCACACACGGTCTCATAGACGAGTAAATGACAACTAAGTTTCGTACTTGAATTTATTAAAAATGGAGAGAAATCTGTGACATTAGAATAGAGGCAAAAGCAGTTAAAATGAACTATGAATAGTGAGAAGATTGGAAGCTGTAAATAAATTTGAAAGTTCAAGCACGCACTCAAATCTTGGATAGCCAAATTACTAGATGAATATATCCATGTGTTTAATACCTCAAAATTTAACCCTTTCTTAAAACAAAAAAAAAATCCAAACTTTTTCTTTGGAAGGAATTTTTTAAAACGTGGGACCTAAGTATAACACGTGAAATATATAAATATTTTTAAATTTCAAAAAAAAAAACAGAACTTTTTTATGACTTTCTTATAACTTTTTTAAAAGGAAATGTATATAAAGAGGAGTAATGATCCAATGCAACGGTTGTATCGTAGTATAATGCAACGACACTTCTAGACAACTATGGTTGTGGTATTTGTATGAACTCAAATTTTGCACACACACTCTCTTCATCTCAATAATTAATTTCTCCTTCTAAAAAAAAAGTTATATTTGAACCCTAGATATGGTTAAAATGAGTCCTTTCCAAAAGCGAATATAGACCATTCATTTTGTAAATATCAAGATCTTAGCCTTTATAAACTAAAAATCATTTTTTTATTTTTTAACATTGCTCATCTAATGGTAATAAAGCCATCCAAACAAAATGGAAATGAAAAAGTCCTTCTAAGGACTAGATCTGAGCATCTCATCAAAATGAATGACATATGTTAATTGGGTTAAAAAAATACTTTTTAAGTTGTGTTTTTAATTTTTAATTTTTTTGCGATTGTTCATTAGAATGAAAAGAGTGTATATTTTAAATTTTGGATCAAACAAATGGCCATAAGATGGTTTTTTAGGATTGTTGCATTATATTACTATACAACGGTTGCATGAAATCATTGCCCTATAAAGAGACCATTTACTCTTAGCACAAGGAGGTCATAATCATTGTTGTCTTTCATTTTAAATTGGTTGGTTGTGAGTGTCTCATCGACTAGACTAAAAGTTCAAAAAAAAATTCTCAACTTTATGACACACTCTACGTCATCCAATTCAACATCTAATCGTTAAAGGGCATGATTTCATGCAACCGTTGTATAGTAATATGATACAATAATCTTAAAAAACCATTTTACGGCTATTTGTTTGATCCAAAATTTGAAATATACACTCTTTTCAGTCTAATGAAAACCATTTTATGGCTATTTATTTAATCCAAAATTTGAAATATACACTCCTTTCATTCTAATGAACAATTGTAAAAAAAGAAAAAATTGAAAACACAATCTAGAAATTATTTTTTTAGCCCAATTAACATAGGCCGTTCATTTTGGTGAGATGTTTAGATCTAGGCTTTAGAAGAATTTTTTCATTTCCAATTTTTTTGGATGACTTTATTATCATTAGATGAACAATATTAAAAAAAAAAAAAAAGAAAGATTTTGAGTTTATAAAAACTAAGATCTTGAAATTCATAAAATGAATAGTTTAGATTCGTTTTTGGAGAAGACTTATTTTGACCATATCTAGAGTTCAAATTGAATTTTTTTTTTTTATTTGATTATTGAGATGAAGAGAGTGTATATACAAAATTTGGGATCCTACAAATACCACAAATATGACTTTCTAAAATTAAACTATAATACAACTGTTGCATTGGATCATTGCTCATAACTAAAATATGGGATCGTACAATTACCATAAACATGCCTTTTTAAAATTAAACTATAATACAACCGTTGCATTGGATCATTGCTCATAGCTAAATTATATGTGACATTCTTATTAAAAAAAAGAGATAAATATTCTCATTGCATATCATTCATTATGTGGCAAACTTAATGATCATCGTTTGAGATCCCAAAATTTACGCTCTGCCTTTGCGCGATTGGCAAGATAAGTGATGGCACACGATCCCGCAGGAGCACATCTTCTGCTCTATATGAAAAGATTGTGTATGTTTCCATCGCAGTGCATGGTGCGTAGCGGGAAAAGCAATGGCAATGGAGATGGAAGTGGACGATGCACCAAACTTAGGGTTAGGGTTTTCTGAAGAAGAGCTCTTCAAAGCAGCTGAGAATGGGAATTCTGCAATTTTTGCAGAGATTCCTTTTGAGGAAATGGGAAAGTTTCTCTCTCTAAGAAACGACGATGACCGATCTCTTCTTCATGTTGCTGTTGCTTCAGGCCAAAAAGAGGTAACTTTTTCTTTAATGGAAAGACTAGAAGTGAAATTTCACCTTTGGTTTGATTATCTGGCTAACTGTTTTTCGATCTATGCATAGGATGTTAATCTATTTTATTGTTTTTTGGCTTGGTCTCTACTGTTTCGGCATGGTTTTAGAAGAAATTCAAAATTCCATTGAATTTGTAGTTGGTCTTTCACTGGACTAGTTTTGCATTTATTATAGCAGAAATATTCGTTCATCATATTGATATATTCTCTGATTCCTGTTTCATTTTACTGGTTTTCTCTGGTTTCAGTTAGGATCAAGGTTCGATTACTCGGCTTGTGCTCGGAGCTTCCCAGCCAGCCGAGTAACTTGGGGCGCACCCGAGTGGACTAGTGTGCCAGCCCCAAAAAAGGATAAAAATTCTAAGAAGATACTTAAAAAGAAAAAGAAAAAGAGCAAATAGCTAAAAAAACTAAAAAGAACATTAAAAGTCCAAAAAGATGGAAAAATATTTATATAAGATGATATTCGGAAAAAAAATTTGATTTATAGCCGGAAACAATTCAAAAAAAATCAAAAGAGGGGAAAATAGGAAAATGTAGCATCATCATCATCAACATCCCAGCCTGATCCCAACTATTTGGGTTGGTTAAATAGAAAAATATAGCATATGATAAGAAAAACTCACAAATCGACATGAAGAACATCAAAATTATATATAAAATATTTACGCATTGATTTATTAAAAAATAATAATTTTTGGTAATTTTATTAAATTCCCGTGTTTCTAGCTAAGAAGTCGCCCAGCAAGGTGTCAAGTCTGAATAACTCGATTGTGTCCGAGTTAACTTGGCCGAGTTTGAAGCCTTGGTTAAGTTTATAGCTTCAATGGAAAATATAGCTCTATGATGGAATTCATTATTTAAATGACATTTTCTGCCACTAATGTTCAAGACGTAGTGATTTCACTGCTATATCCCATCATTGTGCTTCGTGATGGTTGCCCTTAAGTGGTTTTAATCAAGGTTTGAAGATTGTAAGTGAATTATCTATATTTTCCTTTGGAAGCCTCTACGCAACGCCTATGGGCCCTATGGGCGAAAATGAACAGGGTTTTCGCCCACAGGCTTGGTGCCGTCCGATTTTTTCGGACGGCGTAGATTAAAAGATCGCAACGGACCTTCTGTAGCAGTCAAAAAACACGCGGAAACCGCCACAGACCAGGTGCCATCCGCTGTGGCTCCGTTCAATAAACCACCATGGACATAGCATGTCCATAGCGGGGCGAAACACTGTTCAAAATCGCCTATAGGTGTTTTTAAGAGTTTTCCATTTCCTTTTGTTTATTCTTTATTTTTTGTTAAATCATGTACAATGATTTTTGTGCCGGGTATGGAACAAAATTGTCCATTATGTGGAGGATTTTTTGTTCGTAGAAATCTGTTCCTTTATTTGAGTGCAGTTTTTGTAAAGTCGGCTTTACAAAATTTGGGAACACATTGCACTTCAAAACCCTGCCATATGCAGTTCCGCTGCTAGAAAACCTCATGATGGCATGCAATTCCATTTGTGCCCCTGATTGTTGAATTTGAAGGTTAAAAAATGATGCAAATTTAGCTGATCTGCGGACACTTGAAATGAATAGAGTGTTGCAAGATAATCATTTTTAGGGATCGAAATTTATTTTTCATATCCATGATTGTTGAGGTTGGGATGCTGGATTTGCAGGTTTCTAGAGAGGAAACTACTTTTTCGACAAGATATGAGGTGCAGCTTGATAATGGCACGACTTTTCCTAATATTTTCCCATATATTTTACCATATATAGAGGTTAAATACATCTTCTTTCACCACCACTTCCAAGTTCCACAGGATTGTATTTGTTTATGACCTTATGAAGTTTTAAGTAAACTTTTACCATATATTCTAATTTATTAGTTTCTTTCTTAATTATGGTTATTTCCTTCTAAATTCAGAGCATTGCAGATTATAAGGAAATTGTAAATTCTCAGTGTGCTGAGAAATTGTAAATGGTAGGCCTTGCTAATCCAGCACTTCTACTGGGGCAACCAATATCTTTTTTTTATATGCTAATGGTAGGAATGGAGGGCGGGACGTTATGTTGAGGTATCAGCCCCAACTACCGAACCCCATTTCCATTGGGGCAACCAATATCATTATAATTTTAGTTCAGGTTTTGCTTCCCCCATGATATTATTAAAGATCTGGCTTTTAATGTCTGTCTATAATTCGTGAGAGGTTGTTTGTTGATATTTCAAACATAGAATATATTTTGGCCACAGATTAATATTAAAATTAATGTTAACAGTAATAGTATTTATTCTAGTGCCTTATGTAGTAGAATCTGAGAAATTGTAGAATAAAAATTTGTTGACATGGTCTACTCATGTTGTTGAATGCAGGTTGTCAATACACTAATAGTACATGATTCATCTTTGAACATTATAAATAGTACTGATGAGGAAGGCTGGGCACCACTTCATTCTGCTGCGAGTAGCGGCCATGTCGATATTGTCGAGACTTTACTGAACAAAGGTGTGATTTTATAACATTATGCTACCACTAATTTGTGTTAGAAAGGTCCTCAGTGGTTTAGGCGGTTTTCTTAGGATGTGCAGCTGCACTTTATTATTAAATAAAGATGTATTCCGAAGTAACTATATTCAACATATCATTTTGAAGTAACTATATTCAACATATCATTTTGAATACTCTATGATATTCTTTGAATGTTGAGGACAAAGGTGGGTCTTATAGGAATGGGATGTGGATTGGATGCTGGCGTGGATATTGGGGAGCTCCTTTTAATTCCTTTAGCTTCTTAATAACAGAATCCTAGATTTTAGCTCCTTTGTCTGCTTCAAAAGAAGGGGAAATGCATGCATTATTCTTTGCTACCCTAGACTGTGAATAAGCATAGTAGGATATTGCAATTTTAAAATTACAATGTGAGAAAAATGATTAACTGATGATACAAATCCTTGCATCTTACATTTCTTGATAATTTTTGTTATGCTCATCCAAACTGGCAGCACATGGCATTAATTAGTCCCCAGTATTCAGTTGATTGCTTTTATTTTCTTTCTATCTTTGACCATTTTCCTGCATATTCCAAGTGATTGTCGGATGTTGTCATTTGGCATATAGCAGCTCAACCTGATCATTTATGTTGGATATTTTTCTCTTCTGATAATTTTTTTGTAAACTTCTATGTACTTTTTACATATCTTTGCTATTCTTATTGCTCAATAACTCTGTCCAGGGGCCAATGTTAATTTGGCTAACAATGGGGGGCGCACAGCTCTTCATTATGCTGCCAGCAAGGGGCGGTTGAAACTTGCTGAAATCTTAATCAATCATGGTGCTAACGTCAATCAAAAGGACAAGGTTTCTTCCAATGCAATCTTACTTGTTTCATTCTGACTGACTTCTTTGACTTCGGGTTTATATATTCCTACTTCCTTCAAAGAAACTTAGACTCTACATATTGTTTGATCTATCTCTAATTCGACCTACACTATGTAAATTCACATTTGAATTGTATTAATAACTTATCTTGTCAATAATGCCTTCAAGTTCAATGGTTTCAGATCGGTTGTACGCCATTGCACAGGGCAGCAAGTACAGGGAACTCAGAATTATGTGAGCTACTGATAGAGGAGGGAGCAGATGTTGATGCTGTTGATAAAGCAGGTCAAACACCTCTAATGACTGCAGTGATTTGTGAGAACAAACAGGTCTGTGATCTAACAGAACATTTCACTGCTTATAGTACTTCTGATAATTTTTCAACCAGGGTAGCCATTGTTTTCCTTTCTTGCGCATATAAGGCTTACAAAAGGCAAATTTAGACTAGCTGTTGCTTGGTTTTCGTGAGAAAATTACTATTCTCAAAAGAAGGCTCATGTAAGCCTTCTATGAGATAGTTAAGGTATTTTTGTGCATGATTAGTCTATGATCTAACAAAAAAGGTTTAGAGAAGCTTTATCCCAGATGGGCCCATTATACAATAACAAGTTGATGCTTACCACATCCGGTAAGCATAGCGTTTCACCTGATGTTCATTCAGGGTGATCCAAAGCTTCAACGGAAGAGTGCTTCGAAATCTAAAACCCTTTTATTATGGATTTCTTCTAATTCCTTTTTTTTTGGGTGAAATGCTTGTAAGTCTGATGTTTCAAGCTTCAAATTGTGGTTGAAAGACTGCTAGAAAAATTAGTATGGAGTTTTACTTCTTTATTGTAGTAAATATGCTAATCTGTAATTGTTGTCTAGCTGTAATAAGCTTAGAGATAGTGTGGTTAGGAAGTAAAGTTCCTTCCTACATGGATTAGAACCCTTAGGATTATCTTCTAGGATTGATTAGGAAGCTTTTCTATTTTTTCAGAGAATTAGAATTCAAATATGGGTAGATTAGGATTTAGGAACAACTATAATTGATGTGCCATTGGCTAAAGCAATCAATCTTTGAGAAATAAAATGTGAGCTCATTAAATTGTGGTTAGAGACCATTATTCCTTGACTTCTTTTTGTATGGTGAGTGATTCTACGACTCTAACCTTGGTTTCAAAGAATCTGCCTTAAATGTGAATCCTGTTTCTTCTTGTGGCGGAGAGATTGCTCAAAACCTTAGCTTGGGGATGGGAGTTTCTCCTCACATAAGCTTGGGCCCCATCTTCTTTTCCCTATCTGTAGCCACATTTGTATCTAAGATATCCCACTATTAAACTTGTCAGCCATTTAACTCTTCCATTAACCTCAGCTATACCTCTCGAAACCCTTCTGCCAAGTCGTTGAATAGTTATCTTAACCACATGCATACCCTCCTCACCCTTCAAACTTAACTTCAAATGGTAGATTTGCCTTAGTTCAACCCTATGATCTACCTCATCATCCTTCTATCTTGCTGGACTGCTAATTCAAACCCTAGGTTTTACCTTAACGTCATCAAATCCTGCCCCATAGACCTTGCTTAAGTCCTAGCTTCTCTATGACTCCTATCATCCACTCCTATTCAATATAGTAGACATCCAAAACCTCGCCATCATGAACTTTTATGAAAAGCTTAAACCCTTTAGAATTCCTATATTCTAACCTAGTTGGAACTGCTAAATCCACCCCAGACCCTTTCTTTCTAAGCATATCTCGCGTGTAGCACTCATAGAGGAGTCCACTTGTCCTGGCGAGCCCAAGTGACTCTGACTAGTTTGAGCGGCTCACTCCAGTCAGCAAACGCTGAGTGGAACTGAACCGAATGCTGTTGTTGCATAGTAGGAAAGAGGGAGAAGCCAAAATTATGTTCTCATTCCTCCATTCTAATAAATTTTTTCACATTACCAATAAAAAGAGAAATTGATCCTTTGTTTCCTGGAAGCTCTAATCTTGTGGTGTTCTAGGTCACTCTTCTTCTGGTACGGCATGGAGCGGATGTTGACGTGGAAGATAAGGACGGGTATACAGCACTTGGTAGAGCTTCTAATGAGTTTCGGCCAGTCATCATCGATGCTGCCAAGGCTATGCTTGAAGGGTAATGCTGAAAAGATGTAAAGAATGACACAGCATTAATTCTTATTTCAAGTAAGTTTATTGATTCATGTAATGTGAAATTCTGACAAAAACCGTTTAGCACCGATAGCTTGCGATATAGTTTTTGTGCTTGGGTTGTTGCTGTAGTCAAAGGTGGTGTCTTTAGTGCGAGATTTTAGACTTTACTTGTGAGTAAACTGCAGGATATTTGGGACAAAATGTCTTTGTCCACCACTACTGTACCCATCTTGTAGCATGTAAAAATGAGGCTTTGAATTGGTCTTCTAACTGAAGTGTTTAGCCACCCGGAGCTACAATCTCATCCCAAATGATGACCAGAATATGCATATGGTTTCTTCATAAACATGAAGTGCTAGTCATTGATAGAATTTTTGTTTGGTGACTAGAAAATCAACTGAGCTTCATGAAATTTAACCTTCATAGCATGCATGAGAGGCATGAATCTCATTTGTCAAAAGAAAAGAAGGTGTGAATCTTGTGGATAGGGATGTTGTTTATGAAGAATCTATTGGGATCATATACAATGAAACAATTATCTTTTATACAAAAAGGTCACCTGCACCCATGGTTGTCACATATGAAATTGTATGGGCTGGTATGTGTCATTTCTCTGCACAAAGTTGGAAGATTTTCTTGTACTTTGAGCACAATTAATGATACGCGCTCTAGCTGCTCAATTTCACATTTAACATATTCGGGTGTTTGTGACCACCTTGTATAAAAGATAAACTGTCTCATTATATATTTTCCCTAATCCATTAGCAGTCTTTCTCACTAAGGAATCTAGATTCTCATTGTCATCAGGAGTATAACAGAATGATGCTACCATCAAATCAGTAATGTCTAAAACGGAGTGACTACAATGAGACTAACCTTTTGTTCACAGACATACTTAAGTCGTCAATTGTAAAATCGGCCGACTGGGTATGTGATTTTCTGTACAAAGTCTCTTTTTTCCTACTTTGAGCACATTCACTTCACATCTAATGGCTCTGATGGCTAGGGGTGACTGTTAAACAATTGTATTATACTTTCCGATTAATGTCTCCTCCATCCCGTCTTTCCCAAATACACGGCCAAGCTATTGGCTTGGGTTCCTTCATTTAATTAGACTTCCTCTCCCCCACCATATATGTGTGAGAGAGAGAGGATCCCCATGACAAGTTGTATGGCTAATCTATTTGTTTTGAGTACCAAATCCTCATCTTGTGAGACATGAAGGTTTGTGTAGTCTTTCCCTTGCGCCCCAAAAAAATAATAATAATAATAACATAGGAAAGAAAGGAAAAAAAAAGCCTAAGTGAGACTCACTTTCAAGCCTGGATGTGTACCCTTAATGCAACTAAACTCTTTCTTGTTGGTACTTGGGATATGACCAATACGCAGTTATTTCTTTTATGACTTCATTTGGATCCCATTCCGCAAAGAGTTATCTTTATTTCTATAGGCCTTAAATGGTTTGATTTCTTCAAGAACAAATGGGAAGCTCGACATGTGGTGCCGCCCACGTACATTATATGTGACCCTTGCTCTCAATCGTCTGATGATTTGAATGGACTAGGATCGCTCATGTCATGTGACCCTTGCTCTCAATCGTCTGAAGATTTGAATGGACTAGGATCGCTCATGTCATGTTGTCATAACGAAACACTATTTATTTTTAATCTTTTTCTACACTACATTTTTTAGTGAAATTTAAGGTGTTTCCTTGGGGTGTGCCTAGGGGAAAAAAAAAAAAAAATTCTAGCAAAAATAAATGACCAAAAAGCTCCGGTAAGTTTTAGAGGAATCTTGGTAACTTTCCGTTCCCAGAAATAATTTTATTATTTTGATCATGTGTGCCCCTATTAGCTCTGTGCACACGTTAAATTTCACTTCAAAATGATATATACAATAAAAATAAAAAATATAATCCTCTAAGCTATTGGATCAAGATCTAATATTCAAGAGCCACCTCGTGACATGGTGCAGCCATCCCAACCATTCACTCAAATCGGATGGCTGAGTGTGGAGGTCACATATGCTTTGATAGAGTTCCTCGGACAATTTTGATAGTCTAGATTGTTGCAATTCATGGAGAAATCCTTTAAAAAGTCTTGCAAATGCATATTGAATGACAAGATGATCAGTGGTCTTTCTACCTTCCATGCATGGTAAGTATTTGAAAACAATTTTGAACTTTGCTTGGTTTCTGAACCCCTATGAACTGGTCTGACTGGGGCGAGTCCCGAATGAAACCGTGAGTTTTTTAAGTAAGATTTAGGGGCCGACTCAGGGTGACCCCTAGGTTTAAAGATGACTGGTCTGGTCCAGATTCGCCATTTCCCAGAAGCACTGACCTGAGCCAGGTTAATTTTTCACCCAATGCATGGAGTGACAAGATGATCAGTGATCATCTATGCCCTCAATGCATAACCCTAGCAATTTATAGCACATCTCTTAGGGTCCCAATGCTTTGGTCAAAGGGTTACCTTTCCTTGATTGAAGTAAAGTCTCTCCTTTCTAGTGCTCTGCTTTTCTTTCCCACAATTTCCTTGTATTTTTTATCATGAGGTATGTGATTTGTCGCCTGTGAAAGGCAGCTGCAACCAATATCACCCTTGAGGACACTTGATGCGAGGTGAAAGTGTTCATTTTTTTCTTTTGTTTATTTTTTATTTTTATGAGAGGTTGGATTTTCTGCCCTGTAAACATTAGAATACTCCAGGATACTTACCAATATATTGTTCAAAGCTTGAAGAGGTGGAGGTCTCCATATTCTTCATCACTCAATAGTTATTTATTTATTGACAAGACAAAGGAGAATGACGGATCAGGATTATGTAGCCAAACCTAACTAGTTGGTAAAAAGTTTTGACAATGATAATGGTGATTGACAAAAGAGGTGAAAGCTCTCTCTCTTAATTAATTATAATTAACTATTATTATTATTATTATTATTATTATTATAATTATTATTATTGTTGTTGTTGTTGTTGTTGTTGTTGTTGTTGTTGTTGTTGTTTTCCATGGCAGGGGTTGGGAAGATGGGAGGGGGATATTGTCTTGTACAATTGGTGTAGGGCTCTTTGGAGGATTGATTTTGTCGCCTTATTGCTTACTTCCTTTGGTAGAAGATCCGATTATAGGTAATTGGTTAGCACTTGACAGTTTACAACGATGCTATGTTCTAGGCTCAATTTCTATTTGTTTGTACTCGTTATAGTAATAAAATTAATTTTAATATATTTGTTCTTTGGCCGTGTCTGCATAAAGTTTTCTTATCTAAAGTTGTCTGCAGTTTTACCTATAAATTTGCCTTTTGAAAACCTTTTTTTATTTTATTTGAAGTAATTTATTGAAAATCACATGTTCTTTACTAGAAATAACTAGAAACAATTGAGAACCACCCAAAAATATTGAATAATTAATTGATATTATACAAACACAAGGGGCAACCTACTAAAAAACAATTTTATACATAATTTGTTAATTTAGATAACTTAGCATCATCATCAGAGCCTTAATCCAAATATTTAGGGTCGGCTTTTTAAATAAGTTAGCATGTTTTAAATAAGAAAAAGATTTATATAAGGTTGCTACCTTAAAATGTAGAATTGAAGATGCATATAAAAAATCCATTGGAAAATATCGTTTTAACGTTGAAAACCCCTCTAATTGATCATCTCGACATCGAGATGTATGAATATAAAAAAAAAGATTTTGAGTCCTAGAAATAGTGTATCTTACAACATATTATCTAGACAGTCTATTTTCAAGATTTTCATATGTTTATAGATTTACTTAATTTTAACCATTTTTTGAGTTTAAAATTTTATAATTAAATATGAAAATAGATTTTGAGATAATCCTAAGAATTTTTTACACCAAAATTACATATTATGATAAAATTTGAAAGTGCGCCTTGGATTGTTTAAGGTAAACCACACCCCTTAAATAAAGTTAACAATCCTCTAAACAAGCTCTACCATTTATTTGATAAATTTGAAAACTAGCAGACATAATGGACTTGACAATTACCATTTAGATTTCGTACTTTCAATAAAGTTAAGCTTATAAATATTGGGAGCATATGCGCCCCGAAATTCAAGAATGCTACCTCAAAATCATCGATATTTGATTTATTTGGTGATAGTTTTAGATATATTGTATATAGTTTAAAGCTTGGAGGCTAATTTTGTGTCCGAAATTCAAGAATGCTACCTCAAAATCATCGATAGTTGATTATATTCGGTGATAGTTTTAGATCTATTGTATATAGTTTAAAGCTTAGGGGCTAATTTTGTGTAGAGAGTGACGTGTTAACGGGTAGAAATGGAACTTTTGACACAAATTATATATAGAGAGATTCATAAAGATGAGTTTTAGAAATGTCTTGAAATTTGGCAGTTTCCTAACATGAGAATCTAGATAATAGAATGGCAGAGTTACGCTTTTAAGCCCTAGTTTTGATAGCTAGACCCAAGCTTTATCCTTACTTACAGTCGAACATGTGAATAAGCACTAAGGAATGGTGGTAACCAGCACTGGCATTATCTTTCCTTTTTGTCATTAGTGTTAATAGATGTTTTTAATTTTAGAGAAGGTTTCTATATTTCCCTGACTGCATAGAAAATATATACTTTTCCCCATCCAGTTATACAATTTAGATCAAGTGAGGTACTACCGTTTGATCTAGATCTGAGACCTCATAGCATTTTATTTTTATTTATTTTTCTACAAATTATATGAATATGAAATTCGGTATGTGCCATCATATCAATAGGGGCACCTAAAAATAATATTGATTTTTTTTTTTATAACATACAATGACCATAATACCCTTGAAACTTTTAGGGGTATTTTGGTTATTTTATTTTATTGAGATTTTTTTAAAAATATTGTTTATAGGTGAAGTTTAAGAGAGGAGTGGACACCCAAATTTTGGTATCAAAATATTTTTTATAAAAATTAAAAAATAAAATAGTGTACAGACGTGACTTTGTGATTGGGCCATCTCAGTTGTTCATTCAGAATGGACGGTTGGATAGAGGGAAGTACATTCATGTAGTAGGGGAAGTATAGAAAGCTTTCCCTTTTATTTTAGGGTGAGGTTTGGATTGCTCTCTTTATACTATAGAAAAAAGGCGTACCTCTAGATTTTACATGGAGATGGAGTTATGATGTCGCAAGCTTCATGATAGAATGAAAATCTGTTTTCATCCCTAGTTATGAGATTTAAAATATATATATATAAAAAAAATGTACAAGTTGAGCATATCTAGAAACACTTGAAAATCTTGA